CATCATCAACATCGTCACCATCATCATCCCAATCCGCAACATCCTCATCAGCATCGACATCACCAGCATCATCTGCCCCATCATCATCAGCAGCAGCAGCATCGTCATCATCATCAGCATCATCATGGTTACCGTCATCATCAGCATCATCAGCAGCATCAGCAGCATCATCAGCATCAGCAGCATCATCAGCATCATCAGCATCATCAGCATTATCAGCATCATCTTCATCTGCATCATCAGCATCTTAAGCATCATCAATTGTTGCGGGTACTGGGGGCCTGAGCACATGGGGGCCGAAGTTCACCTTCAGCGATGCGTTCCTGTAAGCGACCGCGGGGTAGAGCGCCTTGCCGCGCAGCGCCTCTGGGATGACCTGGGGAAAGATCTTCCTCCTCACTCCTCCCTCTCTTCCTCCCCCTCTCCCTCCGCCTCCTTCGCCTGCACCTAGCTCATCGTCGTCGTCCTCGTCACCCTCATTGTCGTCCCTCCCGTCATGGGACTTGTTCCTCCTGCCTCCCCCCAAACCCCCTCATCCTTGTCATCTGTCTCGTCCGTCTCCTCCCTCCGCATCCTCATCAGCATCCTTCCTGTTTTGCAGGCGCAAACTCATCAAAGGACGCAAATGTGACGAGACGATAAATTAGGCGCCGCCCGGGGCCTGTTTGACAGGGCCCGCCGTAAGCATCCTTCTCCTCCTCCTTTACCTGGTCCATTACCCCCTCGCCCTCCACCTCGCCCTCTCCCCTCCTGCCACTCCTCCTCAATGCGTCGCCGCCCTCCTCCGCGTCCTCCACGATCCTCCTCCCTCCTCCACTGGGAGATGCTCGAAGTATACACCAGATCGTCTTGTCGTCCAGGGAGCCAGTTGCGTAGACGCCCCAGCTTTCCGAGCGGGCTGCGGGGCGCTGGAGCATCTAGACACCGAACTCCTTCGCGGAATCAATCTTCTCCTTGGGCCGGCCACACGACGTGGTGTGTACATGGAGCCCCTTCGATCCTCTCCCCGTCTCCCCTACGTGGCCAGTTTGGCGCAGGCTAGCTCGCGCTCAAGCGGGTCGTCCTGACCCCTTCTTGTGCCCTCACCCCCTAGATCGGGCGGGTGGGGCGGGAAATGTCGATCGGGGGCGCACCTCTGAAACGCTCACGGGATTGCCGCCGAAGATGCGCGCCTCGAGACGCCATCGACTGATGAACGGAAAGCTCGACGTGACTGGGCACACTGTGTCGGCAGACAAGGAGGTGCGCAAGCTAACTGACGAGCTGGCACGGGTCAAAGACGCAAAGGCAGCCCTCCTGGACTTCATGCTCGTGTTGATGGACTGACGGGCTCATGGCTCATGGTGGTCATCCTAGCCCTGCGTGCTACGCTGGAGGGCAAGGCCTGCAAAGCACTAGCACGCATGTGCAGGAACGTCGCCGTGCACGCTGTGGCCCTGGGATTGCACATTCCGACCGCGAGCCAGCTGAACTCAAGAGCGCGCACAGCACGATCCTCGCCCACGGGGAGGCGTCTAATGCCCTGTTGGCTGGATTCGAGGCTGTGCAGAGGGCGCAGTCCCAGTGGAAGCAAGAAGCCCTCCCAGTCTTCCGTCTGACCCTTCCGCTCCTTGTCGCCCCTCATCTTTTCCATCTCGCTGCACCTAATATTCATTCCTCTCCTTTCCCCTCCTCCTCCTCCTCCGTGATGACCTGGGGTTTGGAGATCCGCGCTCCATTCCGGAAGAGACTCACCGTGTTGGCGTTCGGACTCTGCGGGTCAAGGTTCACCACGCAAGCGATCACCTGCTGGGCCGAGAAGAGGACGATGCGGAATATGTATGCGGGAGGAGGGAGAAGGGAGGATGAAGGAGGGAGGATGAGAAGAAAGGGGGGCAGGGAGGAGGGCGACGAAACAGTGCGGTCGGGAGAAAGGTTGGCGAGGAACACTAGAAGGAGGGAAGGAGAAGGCAGGACAAGGACGAGGAAGGGGGGAGAATAGCAGGAACAGGAGTAGTACATATGCGCAAGAGGGGAGGAGGAGGAGGAGGAGGAGGAGGAGGAGGAGGAGGAGGAGGAGGAGGAGGAGGGACGACGAGGGAGGATGAGGAGGTGGAGGATCATGGAGGAGGGAGGGAGAAGGAAGAGACGGAGCCGAGCAGGAAGAATATTCTGGCCAAAGGGGAGGGGCGTACTAGGTAACATGTCCGGACGGAGGGACCAGGAAGATGCATGAAGAGAAGGAAGAAGCAGGAGGGCGATGACCAAGGACGGGGGACGAGAAAGGAACTGCAGGAGCACAAAGGAGGCCCCCCCCCTGGCCTGCTGGGCCTGGAACTTCCCCGCCAGCTTCTGCCTCGGCTTACCAAGGACCTGGGGAGACGGAACCCGACCGCAGTCCATGCCCGTGGGGATTGTGCGTCGCCCAATGGGGGGGGGGGGCGATAAATGGGGGGGGGGCGAGAAAAGTGAACTTCTCGGGCCCGAAAGGCCCCCTTTGGGGCCCCAGAGGGCCCTTTTA